TATATTTATCATGACCTCTGTCGCTCTTTTCCCTCTTGGAAGATGCAATCAGATGTGTGACTTCCTATCTGATGTGGTACTTCCCAAATGATATGGGGGGATTTAACCCAGTACTGAGTAATAGGGAAAATTAGTTGGAACCACTAATACAATTCGGAGTAATATCTTTGTTCTTTAGGGTTCTCCTAGCTAGGGTATATCCTTCTATAACTATATTTAGTTTGTGAGTATCTTTTAAAATTCACTGCTCAAGATGTTTTGGTAGTTTAAGACTATATTGAAAAACAAATATCTCAATATCTTGTCAAATATCTCAACAATTTCCACTTAGAAAGCACACAAATTAACATTTGCAATGTTTTTTCAACATTGTAAAGTGGTTTTTTATGTACTGGGATGTAGTTCTGTATCTGATGAAATTGCTGTGTTTTTTTTCTCACTAATACATAGCAACGTGTGTATGTGTGTGTGTGTGTGTGTGTGTGTAAATGCTGTTAAACAGTGGATTCTTATCTCAGGTATCATCATTGCAAACTGCAGTTGGCCCAAGTACTTTTCTCCTCAATGTTCTGATTGTTAGTTGTGTAGCTAATCTCCATTTTAAAACCAAATTTGTACATAAAGAATTATTCATTAGGACATGCTAACAGGTTCTCTCCCTACACCAGTGCTCTGCACAGTAAGACATTCATTAGCTGCATGGATCAAAACAGAATCAGAACAGGAGAGTTTTCACAGCACACAAGGCAGCTGAAAATTGTTTTTCAAAACCACTATAAATTTTTTGTGGTGTACTTTACACCCTGTGAAGGGAAATCTTCATGCAACGATGCCCAATACTGTAATTGGGACTCATTTAGTTTGTACTTAATAAAAAAGTCCTCATGTCTGCACATTTTTCCGTGACTTTTGTCCACTGTGCTTCTTTAGCAATCAAGATTTTTAGACCATGAATAATCTTGCAGGTAGGGCTGTACTTAGCCACCCACACCTCTCTCTGTGGGGAATGGCAGAATCTGATAGAAAGGTTTCTTGTACTGGAGTCAGTAACCAGAAGTTGGGGCTGCTTATATCCTCTACACTTGAAAATTCAGAGGAGAGTAGGTTTGACATTCCTGAGATTCTAAGGTAATATGCTTGAAGGCACACAACAACCTAGTTGTAGGAAAATTCCCTCTCCAAATGTTTTACAGCTTCATTGTACTGTGTAGTAAAGAAGGAGAGGAGCACACAGGCACAGCTTTTCCTTGATGAGTCATCTTATTTATTACAATTCTCCCTTTGAAACAGTTATTTTCTAAGAGGTTTAAAGCTCTTGTTTTCTTCAAACTGGCACAGTTTGTTAGAAAACTGAAAGATCATGTATTATCTTGTACATGTGCATCTTACATGAAAGGTTGTGTAAGCTTCTCCTTCCTGCACATTGATAAATTCTCACCTTGTTTTGGAGGCTGCTCAAAGGACAGATGCAGAGTTTGTAAGCATGAATGGGTGCTGCACCACTTTGGAGTCATGCTGAACTCTTTGTCCTTCATAATACTCTAGCCTTTCAACAAGTGCTGTGGAAAATGTTGGCTGCCATCCTTTAAACAGCACAGTATTTGCATTTCCCTTGATCATCTGTCCCAGAGCAAAGTTCAGTAGGTTGAGGAAGTATTGTTTGAGTGCAATTGATCTAAAAATATATCAAAAGGAAAACTAACTACTGTATATGAACAAATCATGGAGAGGCTTTGTATAGGCTTGTTGATATCTGTAAATACCTAAAACAAGGAAGCAGCAGCTTATGACATGGTTATTTGTGGAAAAGCGGAAGGTCTGACTGTTGTCATTATTATACCATATCCAGAGCCAAGCAGTTGCTCCTGGAGAAATTGTGAATGGCAGTAAGAATCCTCAAATTAGAAAATTAGAACTATTTCTGTTGGGTTATGAACTGTTCGCTCCAGGTCTTGCCTCTGCAAATCAATGACAAATCACGTATTAATGCCAATGTGATCAGGCTTTAGTGAAGTGGTGTCAGCTCACTTCTTCAGAAGAGAGAGAAAAATACATTTACAGTATCCAGGTTGGGGGATAAAGCTAGAAGGACCTACTAAGTCAGACAGTTACTTTGCTGTCTGTATCAAAGGTCATTATTACCCACTGACCTCTGTATAGAGTACTTTATGTTCAACTGTAGTAGTAAGCAGGCAAAAACATGCTGAGCTACAACACTCAAAGAGGTATCCAGACTTGAAGACCTTAAGAGCTGAACATGCCATCGAGAATTCCCATGGTAATTTCAGCTATAAATAACTTGTTGTTTAATATGCCATGTTTCTACATGAACTTTGTGTTTACACTAAATAACCGTTAGGAACCAGTATTTTCTCTATATTAGGTCAAGGTAGTTAACAATGTTAACAAATGAGTCTTTCCTTCAAACATGTCTCTGTAAGACATTTTCCTCGTCAAATAATTTTGTCTGCCTTTTTTTTTTTTTTTTTTTTTAATTCTATTTTGAAATCATTCTTTCTGAAATGTGAAACTTGGTGTGGTGATTCACTGCATGTTTCACTAGTGAAAAAGCTGGGTTTGCTTTTCATACATACAAGGAACAGATTAGGAGTGGCTCTTTGGTGTGTGGTTTTGGTGTTTGGGGTTTTTTTGCTACAATGTCAGGTGTTTGTCACCTGTAATTCTTGGTACCTTTCAGACCATGTGTTTTCCAGGGAGGGGGCTTGGCTGGTCGTGGAGCTTTTCGTTCGAATCCCCATGCAGTTGGCTGTATTAAGACATGTTTAATTAGAACTGGCTGAGTTTATTAGGTGATTCAAATTATTATTACTATCTTTAGTTTTCATCCTCACAGTTTTATTGACCTCACAAATCTTATCATGGATGTATATATTTATTTTCATATCATGAAAGCCCTAAAGTTTGTTGCAAGTCTCCATTCATTATTACTTTGTTAGATCTTTCAGTTTTCAGTTCATTTAATAGATTTTATTGATATTATTATGATAGTTTTCTTAATGAGAATGTCATACACTATTAAGTCCACTGCTCTCCACAAATATATTGCAAATATACAATTAATTTCATCATCCAAATGTCTGTCTCATCAAACAATGCAATAACATTATTTACTAATCTGTTTGCCACAAAACTGGGTTCACTGGTTTTATAGTAATTATACTCCATCACTTTAATTATTTATTAAATTTATAACAACTTTATTACCTGGAAGCAAGGTCAGACTAACTGTCCATTAGCTCTCTTAGTCATCCTTCTGGCCTTTGTTATTATTGGCACAACAGTAACACTTTTCCAGTCAAATGGGATTTCCCTGGAATGCCCTAATTTATTAAAATAAACACGATTGGCTCTCAGGTCTTCTCAGTCTTAGTTGTGAGGCAAATGAATTGGCTGATTTTAAAATGTTGATTTTTAGTGCATGTTGTATAACATCCTGCATGCTTACCAAGGGACTGGAAAATAGTCAGCATCATCACGTGACATAAGAACAGCTGTCCAAATATGGAATCAAAATATTTCTAAAAATGTCTGTCTGTTCTGCATAACTATTAAAAGTTTTATCATTTCCATCTGGCAAAGAGTTTCTATAACTGCTGAGGATATTGTGGTCTTGATAAGTTTGGGGGTTTATTAAATTCTTCACGTTACATTGGTGCTGTCAGCTGTGGACTTTCCACTGATGATGCTAGCTTATTTTATCAGTGTTTCTCCCTTTGTATCTTTTAAGTTGTATGGATTATTACAGTTTATATTTATTATTATATAGTACCTTTTTATTATGAACTTCTATTTGCACTTGAATAGTGAAAGAAGACAGTGTTTTTGGCCAAAATTATCCTTTCATTGACTGCAGAATTACAAATTTGTGACCTTCCTAATATTTCTTCTTGAAGAAAGCTTCTCACTTCTGACTTTCCAAATTAATTTCAATCATTTTAATTACTCAGCTAGGATTTTGAACTTGCAGGTTAGTGACAACTGTAGCACATGTATCATGCTCGTGGCTTTATGCAACAGTGTCTCCCTCATCTTATCTGCTCATTATGCCTTCTTGGTGTGGTTTGTTGGGTTTTTAAATCAGGTAAATCCTTGCACAGAATTCACTAATAATGGCATCATTCTCTTGCATTCGGGATATTTTCATGTTCTCTGGCTTATTACCTCTTCCAATTTCAGTACATAAAGGACCAAAAAATCTCATGCTTTGTCTCCCATGGTAATTCAATTTTGTCAGAGACTGAGTATGTACTGGATTTGCTTTCTTACCAATTTCCTCAGGTGTTGCTACTTTAACATCCTCCTGCCTACTCCAGCTTGTCTCCAAATCAGTAAGAGATTAGCACTTGCACTGTCCACTTTTAAAAGTTTTTCTAAGAGGTAAGATTATCATGGGAAATGTATTTTCATAAAAAGAAGTTAAAGAAGTCTTTCTGAGTCATGCTCTTGTATGTCTGTTATCCATCTAAACATACTTACTCCGAGGATAATATCATCTGTTCCAGAAGTGATGCTGCAAAAGGGAGATTTCAAATGTATTTCATCACATTATGTATGTTCTCTATGGAAAATTTTCAGCAGCATGCCTTCCGCAGTGGTATGCCATGAGTATAGAATCTGTGATTTTACCAGCAGAAGCCAAAAGTAATTTAATTTTTCTATGATCTTATCCAGCAGACCTTCTTCTTAGTTTTGTATGTTCTGCCTCTATGACTCAGACTCCTGCATATCTGGAGGATGTGTCAGCTTTTTGTTTCAAACTAGTGTATGTTTTTCTTCTTTTAGAACAGCTTGTAGTAAATTAAATGGGATGATATAAAGACTGTTGAGGGATCTATAGCATCCAGCTGATTTGTAAGTGGTGTTAAAGGCTGCTCCTAGGAGTAGGGCACAGTGCATATTTTGCAGTGAGCATTCAAATTTGGCCAGCATTCTGAAACAATAGCTGTTCAGGGGTGATTAAAAATATGACTTGGACATACCTCCTTGCTTCAGCATTTTAAGTCAAATGCCTTCCAAGGGCAGGGCTCTTAGCAGAGTTCTCTCCTCTGACTTCCTCTTTCCTTCCTGAAATATAATTGTCAATGTAGGTTCTTCTGCCTCCTGCACGCCTAGCAAAAACTGTTTCCTTAATACACACATGTTGCAATTAAACCTTTTAAAAATTATTTTATTAATAATTATTTTAGTAGTATTCCTGCTTAAACATGCCAATTAGCTCAAACTAGAGAGGGGAAAACCAGAAGTAAATAATAATTTCTTTTGGTATATTTTCCTGTCTGAGAATAGACCACTCATAGCAATGACCAGAGGAAAGGACAGTTGATAAAATTCAATTGCATCTCTTCTTTTATGAGCTTTCAGTCTGGTTTATAACTGAGAACAGGAGAGAAGCAATAACCAAGCAGAATTAGGACATACAAAGAATTTTAAGTACAGGCTTTTATTTTCCTAATTCTTACCTTGATAGAGATTAAGAATTTAATGATGCCCAAGTGGTGTCACACATTTAACCTGTGGTCTTGATATGATTTCTCCGGATCACGTTGCTGAGGAAGTCTTGAGGGTCTCGTGAGTACATAAGAACACTAATTTCCTTCCTGAACAAAGAGCACAGAATCATTTTCTGTGATAAACCACTACAGCCCTACCGTAGTAGCAGTGTTATGTTTGACACAATAAAAGCGGAAAAAGTACTAAGAAAGAGTCACAGTGGCTGAGCCACACAGTCTTTTTGAATCCAGACTTGTTTGGATGTTTTGAAAGAGAAAATAAAATTGTCACATGGTTGCTGATTACATAGTGACTGAATTGTTTGAAAATCGTGTGCTTTGGGAGTCTGCAGCTGGGAAATCCCCAGCATGTGACTGGTACAGCTGTGTTTGATGGTGTAGTTAAGCTTTACTGCAAACCTGAGTATTTCACCACATTGCATCTTATACCTGTGGGTGTCTGCCTGTTGCAGCATTCCATTAACTGCCAAACATTCCTGGACTTTCAGAATTTGCATCATCTTTTGAACATCTGAGCTGCTTGAATTGTGCTAATCTTTTGTTTATAAAGCAGTGTAAACAGAGTTCCAAATGAGGCAAAGGCAAATTTCTCTTCAAGGGTGAATACAGTAGCTTTAAGTCATCTGCATTTTTGCCACGCTGCCAAATGATATAAATCAACGGTTAAGAAAAAGGGAACTTCTGGACTTCTGCTTTTCTTCAAGCTATTTTTATGCTTATCCATCTCCATCTTGTTCCTGTGTTTCATCCTCCTGTGGCATCTTGTCAGCAGTTGAGATGGTGTGTTGTTTGGGATGAGAACTCTTTGTTACTTATTGGTACGGTGCCAAGGGTAATGAAACTCAATTCCTTATGGGGTTTACATGATTTTTTATAATACAAATCTAATATCAACTGATGGTTCGTTGGCTGACTCATTTTGACCCACTGTGTTGTCTAATGTGTGGAAGTGTTGGGCACAAGCTTCTAGCTACCTGGTTAGAAAAACTGTGAAGCATCCCTGTGGTGACTTCACCTGATTAGTGGTCAGCCTTTTTCACAGTTCGTCCACTCCCTGGAGATTTTCCTACACACTGTGGACTCCACTGTCTCTCCCAGACACTCATAGCACAAGCAGCAAGCTCCATGACATTCCAGGAAACCACCTCATTACAAAGTCTTATATACTGTGAGAAGAATGCACCATTTTTCACTGTTTGCAAAGTGTTTGCAGGACGGGATCCCTTGAAAATATATTTAGCCTTTTCTTCTCAGATTTATCATATATTTCTTTTACATGTCTGATGCCCAGGTAGAATCCAGTGGGGCTCTAATCTTTCTCTTCTGTCTTAGCTCTGTGGTTTGGGGTTTGCATTATAATGGCACCACTTTAATCTTTCTGCCAAAGCTTTGCGTAACATTTAAAATACATTTTCCTCTTGGTGTGTATCACCTTGTGTTTCTAGAGACCAAGAAGGGTTTTTTCTGTGGTATTTAATGAATTATTTCAAAATGCCTAATATGGTGAGATATTTCTGGTAGGTTCCTGAGAGGATTTTGGTCCTGTCTAATTTTATGCCTGCAGTTATTCACATGTTGTGGCAAAAAGATCCGTTTAGCATGTTAACTTTACCTTGTCTAATTCTCAGTATAAGTTGTGTTTGTTGATAAAATTCAACGTTTGTGCTCAGGGTTGCTTGTTATCAGCTTTACACTGCAAGGGGCAGAAAGGAAAGTTGTACAAATAATTGTCACTTTTTTAATACAGAACAAGATTATCTGCAGATTGGTATACTATTCATATGATGTTGTTTCTCTTTTTTATAATATTTTTCAAAAAATTATCCCTTTGCAAGGCCACTGCATATTCTTTGCCTTTGGTCATTTCATAACAAAGAGCAACCTGTGCTTTAGTGGATCTGGTTAATTAGTCTAAGGACAGCAAGAGATGACAGAAATGTTTGATAGAGCATGTAGTAAGGATTGATTAGCACAATAGCAAAAAACATCATGAGATGTGCTATTATTATTCCCTCAGTTTGCTGGTTCCTGGTTTCTGTATGCTATATATATTTCTCTGTATTGTGTTTGAGGAAGTAGTCAGATGAAAGGTCACAACTGTTTTATGAAAGTGGGTGAATCACATACTGATTCACTGTGTACAGGCAGTGAATGCTCAGTGTATTTGTGACTGTGCGTTCCTGTATCAGTTTGCCATCCATTCTGCTGTCGAAACCAACTTACAAGAGACAAGTTGGGCTGCAAATCAGTTAAGCAGAAACTGCAGTATAACCTGATGGACTGGTGCTGGAAATTATATAGTTTGTTTAAACTGCACATTTAGTGCAAATTTAGGCTGCCTTCCACACAAATCTTTGAGATGTAATTTGGATAAGCAGGTATTTGCTTGATAAAAGTAGGAGCAGGAGCATGCGCGGTCACGAGATGGAGAATGCACTCCCTTCAGACTTTTGTGATCATATGCAAATGTTGTAGCTTAAAAACATGTTGCCTCTCTAGATTGACAGGAAAATACATAGAGCAATGTCAGGGTCCAAGACAAGGTCTCTGTGACAACTCACATGATCCAGAGCAGCAGTTTTGCTCTTGCTTTCCTGTCAGTGGCACTTTGGGTTGGGAAAACTCCCACAGCTGAAGTTTGAGGAGGACAGAGAGGGGGAAAATCACATGACACAGACAAAAATTTGGAGTAAAATAATCACCAAGGATCGTAATCAGGATGATGGAAGAGTCTGGATTAGTGTTGTTTGCTTTTCCTTTAAGATTGTCCAGGGCAAAGTTGACACACTTAAGTGCCACATCTGCTCAGTTGCTTGTCTGACATGCCCAGTTCTCTGTTACATATCAAATTATATAATGTAGTGGGATTTAGCCAGCCTCACGTGCTTCACCACAGTGGGGTAGGTCGCTTGACAGTATGAGGAACATAGTATGATAATTAGGGAATCTTGTCTTTCTTCGTTTTTCCCCTCCAAAATAGACAATGTCGTGCTTGTGGGAAGGTATCATGCTGGCAGTTCTGGGAAGTGATGCTTTTCCCCTGAACAGATACCACACATATGGTTATGCACGTTGATACCGTACGTACAGTTACACAGCACCTTTTCCTTGTGCTGACATGACAGCATCCTCATTCTCACATGGAAAAGCAACCTTTAGGGCTGAAAAAGCAGATCAGGCCAGCTCAGGCATTTAAGCTGTTGTTACTACACCTTCTTGCCAAGACCAGCAAAACTTTAAAACTGGAGAATTTCCTATAATATCAACCAGAGCAGACAAGAGTCCATCTACTAGAGGTACTATCTTCTACTTGAGACATGACTGTACTTCTCATACATCATGTAGTACAAAGCTTTAAAGCTGGCTAATACAGCCACGGGTGCAGCTGTGATATGGGCAGGGGACTGCATGAGCATTAAGCAGTCGCATGACTGGGTACTGCTCTATGGAGTGAGGTAAAAACAGCCCTGCTGAAAAGGCTGATGAATCTACTGTAAAGTACTTGGAATCCCAATCAGTATTTAGGATCCTATCTAGGAAAGTACTGCTGGACATCTGTGTAGTACTCGGCAACTGAAGGCTAAGCAATTTCATTGACGTATTTCTGGACTGAGGCCTTGAGTTTCTTCTAATGACAAGTATAATTACAGCTTGTCTGCTCTGACCTTTACTTGGCTTAATGTAGGCATCCAGGCTTTGCAAGTTGTACAGTGTACAAAGGGAGTTCGAGTTTGGTTTTCTCTTACTACACCTACAAGTGGAATGCCAGTCTGATGTGCTCAGAAATGAAAATAAACACTGAGCAGAGCAAGTAGAAGCACTGTTGGACAGAAGGGTTCAGTAAAGCTTGGTCATCATAACTTCATTTTTATAATGCCATCCTGAAGATATTTTTTTTTTTAAGCAGAAGTAAGTCTAAAAAAATTGTTTTTCAGCCTTTCCTCATCAGATGATATAGGGTTAATGTATGTGGTATTGAGCAAATTTTCTAAGTTTCACAGTGCACATCTTTGAAATTGCCTTAAAATGTATTTATTGACTACTGCTCCATTCTAGCAGCCACTGTGTTTTCTGCAGCTAAATGAAGGCTTTAAAACCTGATTTGGAATATGAACTGACGAAACTGGGAAGAGAGATAATGTCTCTGTAAAATGTCTGTAACTACATACCTTCAAACATGCAGACGTTATGCAATATAGGATCATAAAAGTGGTTTTATCCCCTCTTGATAGGCACAGAGCTTATCTCTTTTTTAGATCGAAATGTACAATATTCAAGGAGAAAAACTAGGGCTACTGATTCCACTTAAGTTTTTTTTACAATTATTTGTATTAAATTTCCTTTCCTATGATGAGTTTAAGCTTGTAGATACATACATGACTGTATCTAAGGGGAGGATGCAGCTGGGCTGAAGAGATGTGTTTGTGTATGCTTAAATATTCCATTTTTAACTAGTAAGGTATTTTCCTGAACTCAGGTGGTTTTACTTGATGCCCTGTATTTGTTGTAATTTTATATTAAAGAAATGATACCTTGTTTTAAAAGATGCTCAAGCATGTCAGCAGTTCTGGGAAAAAAATAAGCACAGGCTACTCAGATATTTGGACAAATTGTACTAATGGCAATATTAAGTAATCTTGAGAGGGGAAGGCACGTATGCAGAAGAAGGAGCTAAGTTCAGGAACTAAACCAGAAAAAACCACAGAGTGAGTAGGAAGCATGTCTCAAGTAGTAGTAAAGAAAAGCTGAGCAAGAGCTCTCAGGACAGCATCATGCTTTACCAGCTGGGGGCACTTTCAGCTGTCTCATTTGTTTGATTCTTCCACAGCTGGAGATCTGACCCTGTAAAAGGGCTTGTTAGTTTTATCTTGAAAGTATAGCTGATAAATAAATTGGGTGGGAAAGAAGAAAAACAAACAAAGAGTAAAGTCAGCTCTTATTTCTGCCTTCTCTCTGTGGGAGGTTTCTAACTCTTCAGCGAGAGTGCAAGTACTCAAGTAGTTTGAGTACCTGTAGTTGGCACAGCTGAGAGGCTGAAACTGCGGTGTGGAAACAAGGTCAGAAGTCTCCTAAAAACAGTCCGGCATTGATGAAAGTTTCTGTGCTCCCAGCAGCAGAGCTATACCTGAAGTGTCCACTTCTTCCCTGGCTCCTCCTGTTCCTCTGCTGTGGCAAAGGCTGATCCAGCAACCTTTGCAAGTGTGCTGTGAGTGATGGG